GCTGAGGCATGAGAATCGCTTGAACCTGTGAGGCAGAGATTGCAGTGAGCTGAGAGAGTGCCACTATACTCCACCCTGGGCAACAGAGTGAGACTTTTTTTGAGTCTTGAGACTCCATCTCAAAAAAATGAATAAATAAATATAAATATAAATACAAAAAAGATTAACCAAGTGTGGTGGTGGCTGCCTGTAATCCCAGCTACTCGGGAAGCTGAGGCAGGAGAATCACTTGAACTCAGGAGGTAGAGGTTGCAGTGAGTCGAGATCATGCCATTGTACTGCAGTCTGGGCAACAGAGCAAGACTCTGTCTCAAAAAACAAAAAGAAGGTTCCCAGAACTCAGCTTTCATAGGGATGGGACATTTTAAACAAGCACTCTAGATGACTGATGGTGGCCCCCATACGTTTGCTAGGTCTTGCATCTTTGTCCCTCCTGTGCAGCTGGCGTGGCCTGTGGGTACAGCCAGGACTTTGTTTGCACCATGGAAACTCCAGGGCCACAGAGGTTTCACCACTCTTGGCAAGGATGTTAAGCTTTGTCTCCTAGGAACCCAGAGACTGGGCAGGAATTATTTTGACTATGCTGTAGCCAAAGGGAAAGCAGCCCTGATGAAAAACGATTAGAGTCATTCCTTTAGAAGAGTCGAGAAAGTGCCTCATACCCTGGGACCACGTGGGGGCCTCTGTTGCATTTTCCTACTTATTAAAAGTGTAGCAAACAAGTAAGTTCGGTGAAGATTTTTTTATATGATAAAAGTGTTCAGCTGTAGGTTCCTTTATTTTTATTTTATTTTTGAGATGGAGTCTTGCTCTGTTATCTGGGATGGAGCGCACTGGTATGATCTTGGCTCACTGCAACCTCCGCCACCCACGTTCAAGCGATTCTCCTGCCTTAGCCTCCCGAGTAGCTGGGATTACAGGCATGCACCACCATGCCAGGCTCATTTTTATATTTTTAGTAAAGACGGGGTTTTACCATGTTGGCCAGGCTGGTTTCAAACTCTTAACTTCAAGTGATCTGCCCACCTCAGCCTCCCAAAGTGTTGGGATTACAGGCATTAGCCACCACGCCTGGCCAGCTCTAGGTTCCTTTAAACCTAGAGGAAGGTTTAAATAGCCATTTTTAAATAATAGCTATTGCCCCTTAGCACTGATACAGACGTTGCATCCCAGATGTGCCCTTTAATAAATGTGTTTTGTGGCAAGTTACTTGCTGTCTCTGTTAAACTCTGTTAAACTTCTCCATTTTTATTGGAAATTTTTAAACCTAGAAAAAAGTTAAAAGGATAATAGTGGAAAACCAGTAAATCCTTTATCTAAATTCACCAAGGGTTAACATTTTGCCATTTGCTTTCTTTCTTTCTCTCTCTCTCTCCATATATATGTACATATGTATATGTGAATATAAAAATATATTCACATATACATATATATGCATTTACTAAAGCATTTGAAAGTCAAAGATATCATGACACTCAAGAACTAGGACAGGCCAGTTGTGGTGGCCCACACCTGTAATCCCAGCACTTTGGGAGGCTGAGGTGGGAGGAACACTTGTGGCCAGAAGTTTGAGACCAGCTTGGGCACCATAGTGAGACCTCATCTCTACTAAAAAAATTTTTTTTAATTAGCTGAGCTTGGTGGCACTTGCCTGTAGTGCCAGCTACCGGAGAGGCTGAGTGGGGAGGATTGCTTGAGCCCAGGAGTTGGAGATTGCAGTGAGCTATAATTACATCACTGCACTCCAGCCTGGATGACAGAGTGAGATCCTGTCTCAAAAACAAAAAAAAGAACAAGGGCATTCCTGTTATAATTTCTCTTATAACCACAATTTCATCACATCCAATAAATTTGACACTCATACAGTAATATTAACTAATGTAATAAATATATTTAGATGTCCCCAATTCTCCCAAAATATCCTTTATGGCTTACTAATTTATTTTTAGAGACAGGGGCTCACTCTGTTGTCCAGTCTGAAGAGCAGTGGCACTATCACAGCTCACTGCGGCCTTACACTCCTGGCCTCAGGCTATCCTCCCACCTCAGTCTCCCGAGTAGCTGGGATAAAGGCACACACTGTCATATCTGGCTAATTCAAATTTATTCTAGAGATGGAATCTCACTGTGGTACCAGGTTGGTCTCGAACTCCTCTTGAACACCTCAGCCTCCTGAGTCACTGGGATATGACTTTAAGAAAAAAACAATCTGGTATACAACGAAGATTTTAAACCGTGTTTCTTTAGTTTCCTCTAATCTAGAACAATCCCCCTGCCTTTGTTGGTTGCTTGTTTTTCATGACATTGACATTTTTGAAGAGCCTAGGTATAAGTTGTCTTGTAAAATGTCTCACAATCTGTATTACTCTGATTCGATTCAGGTCAAATACATTTGGACACGAACATGTTGTGAAGGTGAGGCTGTGCCTTCCCGTGGCATCCCATCGTACCAGGCGGTGCACCACATCTGTGTGTCCTGTTAGTGGCGATGCTACATTGGATCAGTAGGCTAAGGTGCACGCTTACATTTTGACACTTGGTTACATTTAACTAAGCACTATGCAACTCTTATTAATCAATATAGTCAAATTATAAAGTCCTTGAGGGCAAGAACTGAGGCTTCGCCTTGGGAAAATAGTGCTTTACAGTTTACAAGACTCTTTCATACAGATTACCTCATTTACTCATCAGACACCCTGGAGGGAAATATTTTATTCCCACTACGCAGGAATGCAAGATCTCACTGTGCTTTGGAGCCTGACATTGAATCATAAATCTACCCATTAATAAATGTGTCTTATGACAAGTTACTTAACCCCTCTATTAAACTTCTGTTTGCTCAACTGCAAAATGGGGATAGTAATGTCTTCCTCCCAGAGTTGTTATGAAGACCAAATGAGGGTAATGAAAATAAAATGCCTGCCACAGTGCTTAGCACATAAAGAATATTCGAAAAATGCAAGTGGTGTGTTTATAGAGCTAAACACGTTATATATACACATGCTCACATACTCAACATGCATGTATACACTGATGTATAGAAAGGTCAAGGTCTGGCCTGTGGTCAACTCAGCTGAGTAAATAGCAGAGCCCAGATGCAAAGCCCCATCTGCCTAACTCCAAATCCAGGTCCCATGCCTGTTGTCCACACAACACCACCCTGCTGGTGATGGGCCAGACAGTGTTGCCTTGTATGAACCATTTGGTCAAAATCATTTGAATAATGTGTATAAAAATTAGACTTGATCTTGTTTATACATATATATATATGGACTCTAGCTCTGTCACTCAGGCTGGAGTGCAGTGGCATGATCTCAGCTCACTGCAACCTCCGCCTTCCAGGTTCAAGAGATTCTCCTGCCTCAGCCTCCCAAGTAGCTGGGATTACAGGCACACGCCATCATGCTCGGCTAATTTTTTATATTTTTGATAGAGACAGGGTTTCACCATGTTGGCCAGGCTGGTCTCGAACTCTTGATCTGAAGTGATCCGCCCGCCTTGGCCTCCCAATGTGCTGGGATTGCAGGCATGAGCCACTGCGCCCAGCCAGACTTGATCTTATTTACATCCAATATCGTATCTTATTTACACCTAACTTCAAGAAGCATGAAGCAAGGCCCTACTTCTCTGATTATACAGAATTGGCCAAAGGGCCCCATGCTGATGCCCTTTCTTCCCGGAAATCAGCCTGTGTGCTGCCCTCAGCTCATTGCTTTGTGTTACTTGGCAACCTCACAACATACCCAAACTCACCACATTGAACAGCAGTCACTGTGCATCTAGGAGGCAACACATTGTGGCTGGACAATACTGCATAGTTGACCCCAAACATTCTCCTGTCCTGCCCTGCTCCTTCAGGGTCTTTGGTCTGGAGTAGGGGCAAGACTGGAGAATGGTCCTTGGTCAAGGTCCTTGTTTTAGGGGCTCAGGACCAGCAGAGGTCCCTGAAAGTCCCCTCAAGCATTTTCATTGGAAGTTCCCGTTCCTACTTTCTACTAAGCACCCCAGCCCCACCCCAGTCTACATAGGGAAAATCCACAGCAGCACTCAACCATTATTTTGAGTGAAAGGTCTTCATCCCCTTTGAATGACAATGGGTCCAGTTAAGAATTAATTCCACCCAGCCGGGATTGTGATGTGTGAGTTTGTTGTTCAGGTGAGGTCAGAGGTCTAGGGAAGGAAAAATCACTTCTAGCAAAGGTTTCACGGAGGAGATGGGCCTTGGGGAAGGGGAGTTGGATAGTCAGCAAGGAGGAGGAAGGCATTCCTGATTTGAGGGAGTGGGACACACATCGTATTGGTAAGGGCACAGAAGTAGGGTAGCAAAAGGCCTGGTCAGGGAACTGAGAGGCGGCATCTGCAGGGAGGAGAGGGAGGAGCCCCTCCCTTCCAGACACAGAACAGACTGGGGCTGTAGAGCGGCTAAATATTTCATTGATGGAAAATTGGATATGGCCGTGGTGCTTAGGATGTAGACTCTAATTTCACGGCTGGGTGTACCCAGATGGCTGATTAGGCTGCAGAAGAGAGGCTACCTCCCCATTCCTGGTTTCCTGGCCACAGGAGGGTGCAGACACTGACCTTTTTTTCTCAATGAGGTCAGCAGCCACACGTGTTCTGGGTCCGAAAAGATGAACAAGCCCCCCACCCCAGCCAGATCCCATTGCTTCACAGGCCCCAGACCCACCTCGGTTCCAGTTTTTCAGTGGACACACATTTCACACCTACTATATGTCAGCCATCATGGTGAGCACAAAGGAGATACAGATGTCTCTGCCCAGGGAGACAGCTTAGGGAAACGGACCCCCTAACAGGTCTCTAACTGTGGAGACCACAAATGAAGTGCTAGGTCTAAGCTCCACAGAGGAGGCGCCCCCTGTGCTGATGCAGTCCCTGCAGAGAGGAAGGGAGGGCTGCTAACCAACACGCAGCACGGACTGACTTCTGGCTAGACACTGTGCTAGGAGCTAATTCTGTACTACAACCTTTAATCCTCACAGTCATTCCAAAAGGAGATACCATAACTGCTAATTGCATAAACTAATGGCTTTCCAGCGGGAACATGTGCAAAGAATACATGTGAAAGAACTTTGAACCATGACGACCATTCAGCAGTTTGGAGAGGCTGGCACATTCAATGGAGGACCAGAGGGGGCTGGCAGGAAATAAACCTAGGAAGGTAGGTAGACTGGGGCTTTGCATGTCAGGATGACACATTTGGACTTTATCCACTTAGCTTTGGGAGGCCTCTGAAGGATAGTGAAAAAGGTGGGGCCAAGTGTCCTCTTTCCCTCTTCCACCCCAGTGGGGTCTCTGGCTCTGGCCTCCAGATCGTAATAATGACCCATCATATCAACAAATATGGACTACACACCTTTACTGTGAGCCAGGTATCTTTCTGGGCACTGGGGAAACAGCAATGAACAGGAGAAGGGTCTCATCTCATGGAGCAATGGAGGAGGGAACAGTGGAGGGACACTGTCATCTAGTAAGCAAATACATAAATAAAAGATAGTTTCCAGTAGTCATAGGTGCTCTGACAAAACAAAAACATAGCAATGGGACAGAGAGTGATGGGGGAGGGGAAGCTGCATGAGTAGGGACAAATAGGAAAGCCCTCTTGGAAGAGATGACATTTGAGCTGGGACCTGAAAGGTGATGGGCCAGACAGGAACAGATATGAGGAAGGGCATTTTAGAAGGAGGTGCAGGTATTTGCAAAGACCTGAGGCAGGAACCAGTTGAGTGGGTTGGAGAAACATGAGATTGAGTATGTTTGGAGCAGAATGGGCTGGGGAGGGCGTGAAGGAGGATAGGAGGACTTACAGGCCAAGGTGAAGTTGGAATTTTATTGTTCAATACTCAGCTCAAGGCCAGGCACAGTGGCTCATGCCTGTAATCCTAGCACTTTGGGAGGCTGAGGTGGGCACCACAGTTTTCTTTCCTGGGGTTTGGGAGAAATACTCGGGGAACTTGGTGTCCGGGCATTTTCAGAGTTCTTGCTTTACAGAAGAGATAGTTCTCCAGCCTCCCATCTAGGCGGAAATGGTCATATTGGGGTGATCACCCTGGGAACAGCAGGGTAGGGTCCTTTTGGGGCTGGGGCTGGAGTACTGGAACTCAAAGAGCTTTCTGCTTCCCCCCATACCAACTTAATCCTTTTTCTTCAAAGAGGAAGCCCCAACCGCATCAGGCACATATGTGCTTCTGAACAATATCCCCAGGGGTGAGAAGGATAGCCCCCCTGAGAGAGGACTCAGCACTGCTGGAGGGAGCCTGATACAGTGAGCAGAGAAGGGCTTTGGAATTAGGCCTTGGGTGTGTTTTTGCGGGTTATGATGGTCATTTACTTCTGTCAATTCTTCTTTCCTCTCCTCTCCATGGAGCTACAATTGGTAAGGATGTAGGGGTCTCAGGACAGGGAGTTAGGGGAGATAGTCAATTTCTCCCATTTCAAACGCTTTCCTGAAAGTAAGTTAAGTTCTTAGAGAACAATGTTCCATGCGATGACATTCCTGGGCCACAGAGGCTGCTCTTCCCCAACAGCCAGGCAAAGAGCCCTTAACATCAGACAAAGCCTGAGCTGATTCCAGAGGGAATAAGCAGTGAGAGGCACAGCATGGGACAGCCAGAGGGAGTAGTCCCAGGTCCCAGAGCTGGCAAGGAGGAAATGCCAGGGCCACACAGGACAGATGGCAGAAGTTTGGAGAACATTTTTAGGGACAGATTCCTTTCCCTTTACCCATGAGCCAAAGCAGAATTTCATCCTCTTGGCAGCCAACAGGGTCCCTCTTTCTCTGAACCAACCCCTCTGTTGCAGGGCCATCTCTAGGACATTCCTCCATGGGCAGGGAGAAGACATAGCTAAACCCTGGCCTGATGAGTCCTCAGAAAAACTAAGTCACCGCAAGTCGTCTCTTTCTGAGTCACAGAATCTTGAACCCTTTTAACATCTCTGCTGTTTTCCCCATCAGTGGTTAGATTGCTGTTTGTCCTGAGAATGAAATAGGAGTAGGTCGGGTGCTGGCAAGGTGGTTTCTCATGCCCTAGCCTCTGGACCATGGGAGCTGGAGAAACAAAGAGGGCCGAGGTACAGACCTAGAAAATCCAAGTACTGGCCTCCTCAAAAATGAGCTGGGGCCGGGAACAGTGGCTCACGCCTATAATCCCAGCACATTGGGAGGCGGGCACAAGAGAATTGCTTGAGCCCGGGAGTTCGAGACCAGCATGGGCAACAAAACAAGACCTTGTCTGTATTAAAAAAAATAAATAAATAAGCCGAATATCAAGACTGGAGCAAATGGGCTAAGGTCTGCAGGGGATGGCAAGCAGGTCAGTCCTGGAAGGAGACTTGGGAAACGTGGCAGATGCTAGGCTAGGATTGCAGCAAGAGCCCAGCTTCATGACTGCACCAACCTGGAGGTAGGAGGGAGAGGGGGCTGATGAGGACGGGCCCTGGTTGGGCTGTAGTCCAGAGGCTGCGCTGGGACCTGAGCCAAAGGCAACACATGCTCCCGAAGTTCAGAGAAGGAGGCAATTTGTGTTGGGCTGGTTAGCGCCTTCCATCCCTCCAAAAAACCCGTGCTGGGCCTGATCTTATTGCAGTCGTTCTCTCTTGCTTCCGCCAGGGAGTCATGGAAACAATTTGGGGCGATAGCGAATAACTTTGTAGCCACCTCATTCACTTAGAGAACTTCCTTCCACTTTTCCATCCTCCTTTGGGCATTTCTTATACCCTAGCCTAGAAGTGACAAGAAAGGAGAGTGTTTTTCTGATTTCACAGAGCAGAGCATCACCCCTAGCCAAAGCTCAAGATGAGACAGAACTTGAGGCCACGTGTTTTAAAGAGTGCAAATTCATCCTCACAAATTTTTCAGATTCCATCTAAAGCATCCTTAGGCTGAATAATGAAGAATTCAGTTCTCGTCCCCACCCCCTCTCTCTGCCTTTCTCCACACACACATACCCTCCCCCGCACCCATTTCAGAATCTTTTCTTTTTCTGCTGCAGTCTCCTCCTCCTCCTCCCTCACCTCCCTTCTCAGCAGGAGCACACCAGGACAAGAAAATGCTACTACAGGAGGCTCCCAGCCACAAGAACTGGTTTCTCAGAATGAGTAGTTAATGTAGACCTGGCCACAAAGTCATTGCCATGCTGAGCACATTTCTGTCTCACCATGTCTGATGTAACTCAAGAAATAATGCAATTGCATCTAGTGGACTTCACCCAAACTGTGCCCTGGGTTGCCCTGGGGAGCTGGTTCTGCTGCTTCAGGCTAACTCACTTATTGTGGCAGGAGGCTGCTGATCTGGTCAGTTCCCAGGGATCAGCCGCTCGAGGTGGGGGTTAGGGTGGGGGGGCAGTGGGAGGGTGTTGGAAAGGGCACCTATCAAACGTGGATTCATAAATGGGCTGCAGAGAGACTGGAAAAACTCTGAAGCTGAATGCACGAGTTTGTACGTGCATTTTTACTGGGGATGAGGATCAGTTTTTTTGTCTGATTCTCAAAGAAGTCAGAGACCCTCAAAATGGTTACTCATTTTGGGTGGTAGGTAAAACAAGAAATTGAAATGTTTCTCTTTTCATTTTTGTTTCCCAGTGAGTTTGAGTTTTATGCAATTTCTTGTATAAGAGGAGAGCCTGAGTCCATGGAAGCTGGGATTGAACATCCTGAATATGCAGTTCCTTGGAGAGCCACCAAGAAAAGACCTAAGCAGGAGACATGATGTCATCTTCGGGGAGGAGGCTCTTCAGCTGTCTGGCATGGGAGGAGGAGGAATGAGGAGGATCACTGGCCTTGAACCCCCAAGGAGAGGCCAGAGCACCTTTCTGGGACCCAGCCCAGGGTTTGTATTAAACATCCAGCTCCAAAAGAGATGCTGTACAGATTCAAGCTGCCAAGTCCTGAAGGCCCTGAGGGAGAACCCAATCCCAAGCAGCCCGGGTGGTATCTGGGTATCCTGTGCCCTGCCCATGGAGATCAGGAGCCTAAAGTCTAGAGCTCACTGCAGAACCAGACCAAAGACAGTCTAAGGTCCGCTGAGCCGAGCCTTCCTGACCTCCTGTGGAAAGGGGAAGAGAGAACAGGGCCTCCACTCATCCACCTACCAGTTCCTGGGTCCCTTTAGCCCTTGGCATGGTAATTAACGGTCAGGAAGTTATGCATCAGCCTCAGCAAGCTAACGTGGCAGGAGATCCCTCCTGACAGCAGAGCTAATAAGAAATTTGCTAATGCAATTTATCACTTTAAAAAGCCATATGTCGGTGGGGATGAGCACTTCTCTGCAGCAGCTAGTGTAATTGTCAGAGCAAAGCAGCGAGCAGCTCTCGGAAGGGGGTGAGGATGATGTCTTCACTAAATCAGTGGTGCAATGCAGCAAGCGAGGGCGCTGGGAGGAGGGGTGTGGTGCTGGGTGGAGGGCTCCCAGCTCTCAAGCTCCCAGGAAGCCAGGTCTGCAGACCTCTTCGGGGGCCCCATTAAAAACCAGATGAGCCCTGAACTCCAGCCCCTGCTGCCTTTGAGCTGCATGAACCTGCGCTTTGGTTCCTGCCACAGTGTTAAAACAAGAAGCGACTCTGTCTGCAGTAATGGCTGATGTAAGTCTCAGCCATTGAGTGTCAACACACAGGACCCGATTCCAGCTGGGGGCAGGGCTGATGTCATGTGCACATTTGCTCTTTCTCTCCCAGACCCCTGTGATAACTTCATCCAGGACAAGAGCCACGGGTCCTTAGTCAGAGGCAGGGAAAGATTAGAAATCCACCTCAGGCCCAACAACATCTCTGCTTCCAGTTTAGACAAATTGCCTTGAGTACCCAGTGTTTGCCAAAATAAAGAGTGGTTTCTGCAAAGGGGAAAAACTGCTGTTGTTGGATTTTGCTTCAAACACTCAATTGCAAACCATTTTTCCCAAAGCAAATTGATAGATAAGCAAGTAAGACAGGTGCCCCTTCTGGGAATGCAGTCCAGGGCTGCTGGGAAGGCTGTGGGAAGGAGTAAGAATATCCATATGGCTGGATCTCCACTGCTTTCTGGAGATAGTCCCCACTCTCAGTTATCTGTGAAATGAGAGGGACTGGAGAGAGGGATGAAGTAGGGTAAGCCACCACCAACACCCAGAGAAACATCACACCCAGTTTCCACCAATTAAACTTCCTTCTAAAGCAAATTTTGACCCTAATTGTTCTCTGTCCTTTAAATTAATGCTTTTTTTTTTTTTTTAAGATGGAGTTTCACTCCTGTTGCCCAAGCTGGAGTGCAATGGTGTGATCTCAGCTCACTGCAACCTCCGCCTCCTGAGTAGCTGGGATTACAGGTGGCCACCCCACGCCCAGCTAATTTTTTGTATTTTTAGTAGAGACGGGGTTTCACAATCTTGGCCAGGCTGGTCTCAAACTCCTAACCTCAGGTAATCCACCTGCCTCAGCCTCCCAAAGTGCTGGGATTACAGGTGTGAGCCACCACGCCCAGCCTAAATTAATGCTTTGAATTTTGCATGGAGACACTGAAGGAAGACAAAGTACAAAGATCCAAGCAATAACCAATAGAAAGAAGAAATCCCATGCTAGGGCCTGGACAGCCCAACATGTGTATATAAGCTCCATGTTGCCTTCCTGTTTAAGACCTTCTGCTCAGCTCATACTGATGGAAATAGCATGGGTGGGCATGGGGGAAGTATAGCCTCATGACTCCCCAGCCTTCAAGGTGATGGGAGAGGACTGGCAACAGGAACTGGTATGATTTTTTTAGTGAGTCTTAAACCTTGCAGGAACAGAGTTTTACAGCAACTCCCAAAGTCCCCTGTGAATTGAGGCCCACCTAGGGTCCCAGGAGCCCCTTTATGTGCCCTTTAAAATATGCTTTAATAGCTAAGGTTCCATCATTTAATATTTATTTATTTTTAAATTTTCCTGATCCTCCTTCCATGTCTATTTTTCCAAATACTTTTTTTTGGTTTGTTGTTTCTCTTGAGACAGGTTCTTGCCCTGGCACCCAGGTTAGATCACGGCTTACTGCAGCCTCAACCTCCCAGGCTCAGGTGATCCTCCCACCTCAGCCTCCTGAGTAGCTGGTACTACAGGTCCCAGTATGTGGGACGTGCAACCACACTTGGCTAATTTTTTACTTTTTGTAGAAATGGGGTTTCACTGTGTTGCCCAAGTTGGTCTTAAATTCCTGGGCTCAGATGATCCAACTGCCTCGGCCTTCCAAAATGCTGGGATTACAGGCGCAAGCCACAGCTCCCAGTACCAAATCAATCTTAATACCATTTCTGCCAAGTTTAAAACAAAGATAATCCTGTTGATATTTGGCTGAGACCATACCAAATTAATAGACTAGTTTAGGGAAAATTTTTTTACCTTGTATGTGTGGCAAAATTTTTACCTCCACTCTCCTAGGGTTTTCAACGGGGCCTAAGAATTAAATCAACATAGAACAGATTAATAGGAGGAAAGGAAACATATTTATTTAAATAAGTTTTACATGAGATGGGAGCCCTCATAAGGAAATAAAGACCCAAAGAAGCAGTTTAGAGTCAAACACTCATATACTGAGTCAGACAAAGAGTTTCACAAAGTAAATGATGGAAATGTGACAAGGCAAGGGGGCTTGGGCTGGGAAAGATGATCGTGAGGAGTGACCAGGAAGAGGAAGGTTAGTTTCCAAGGTCGGTTTGTACAGATCCCTCTCAGCCTCCTCTCCCTGTCCCTGGTGATAAGACTGTTGCTTTCTGGCTGGTGTGGTGTCTCATGCCTGTAATCCTAGCACTCTGGGAGGCCGACGTGGGCGGATCTCTTGAGGCCAGGAGTTGGAGACCAGCCTCATCTGATGATAGGGAGACCCTCATCTCTATTTCTTGTTTAAATTTTTTTAAAAAAAAGAATGTTGCTTTCCTCCTGCTATAAAGAGGACATCTTCCTTATGGGGCTTTTGTTCTAGGTTTCAGAAAGAAAAAGGCGTGATCAGAGTGCCCTTCCAGTACCTGCTAGTTTTCATTTGCCTTTGGCTCAAAATAACCCTTATGCCAAAGGGGCATATTTTGAGGTGGCATATTCTGCTACCCTTCAGCTTTTACAAAATTGAGTTTTTCTCTTCAGATTAGAATATGTTTTTTCATTTAAATAAAGTCTTGCTGTCCAAATACTTTTTAACACTCCATATTGACTCTGAATTACCTGCCTTCAAGGCTTATTTGGCAAAGAGACTATAGAATCTCATCTGCTAAGCAGGGAATGTGTTACCTCTTCCTTGGTTATCGGTGAGTTACATTTTTAAAGACAGCTGCCTACATGCCTTAACTTAAATCAAAAGGCACTGGGACAAATAGCCACCTTGGGGTGTCCTTGCCTTGACTGCCAACCTAGACTCTAGGTCCTGGGGCCTCACTCATTCTCATTCCATACCACACACAGGAAGTCAATCTCGTCTGTATTCCCAGTACTTTGGGAGGCTGAGGTGGGCAGATCACCTGAGGTCAGGAGTTCAAGACCAGTCTAGCCAACACGGTGAAACCCCATCTCTAATAAAAAAAAAAAAAATGAGCTGGGTAAGGTGGCGGGCGCCTGTAATCCCTGCTACTCAGGAGGCTGAGGCAGGAGAGTTGCTTGAACCGGGGAGGTGGAGGTTGCAATGAGCTGAGATCGCGCCACTGTACTCCAGCCTGGCGACAGAGCGAGACAACATCTCAAAAAACAAACAAACACACAAAACAACTTTGGTTAAATACATCTGTGGTCCTTTTCTCTCATTAACCTGTTTTTTGTTATAGGAGCAGCAGCAATGAGCCTTGTGATGGGTGAGGGAAAGGTAACTTTTTCTCCCCTACAAAGATAGTTTCTGCCTTTAATTAAGGCATGTAGTTAGGGGCTAACTTGAGAAGGTGCTGGTGCTGAGGAAAACCTGCCTTGCCCTAGGTTCTCCGAATTATAGCCCCTCTCTCTTTTTTTTTTGAGACAGAGTCTTGCTCTGTTGCCCAGGCTGGAGTGCAGTGGAACGATCTCAGCTCACTGCAACCTCTGCCTCCTGGGTTCAAGCGATTCTCATGCTTCAGCCTCCCAAGTAGCTGGGACTATACAAGTCGTGTTCCACCATGCCCAGCTAATTTATGTCTTTTTAGTAGAGACAGGTTTCACCATGTTGCCTAGGCTGGTCTTGAACTCCTGGCCTCAAGTGATCCACCTGCCTAAGCCTCCCAAAGTGCTAGGATTACAGGTGAGAGCCTCCCACTCATGCTTTTCTCATGTGACCCCTCTGCAGGGCCGGCTTCATGGGTGGGTGAGCTCCAGCTTAGATGAGCCCTGCACTTGGTTTAATACTCTCCTGTTTAGCAGTTTCTGAAAAATAAGAAAAATAAAAAGCAATACTTAAAAAAAAAAACTGAAATACTAAAACAAAAGTATAGTAAATTCTTAATAATTTTGTAAAAGGGGACCCCACATTTTCATTTTGCACCAGACCAAGTTATGCTGTCCCTCTGCAACACTTTGAAACTCAAAAACAGAAAGGAACAGCCCAGTCACACTTGGGATTGGCTGAGGGGTCAGCATCCAAGTCCAGGCAAGACCAGGTGCCAGTCCAGGCACTTGAGCAGCCTCTGCCAGGACTTCTCTCTGCTTTCTGCAGCAGGCAAGACCTCGTCCCATCTGCAAATGGGCCTGGGTGATGGATTTTTAAGGGGGACACCTCACAGAGGACTCCCCGCTCCCTTCCTCAGCTCCTCCTCCCTGCCTGCCTTCCAGGGTCTGGGCTATAACTCAGCCCACTCAGCAAACCCTCAGCAAATTTTGCTGGTTGTCATCTGGACTACCTCAGGCCCAAGCCTGCTCAGTGTTTCCAGAGTTTAGACCCCAGAAGTGAGTAAGCAGCCTGCATTATCTCTCCAGACTTCTGCCTCTCTCAAGACCTTCCGGGAGCCTGGATCGACAGGAGAGAGCACTTCCAGACCACTAGCAGGAGCACATCTGGTCTCCTGGGCCGAGGAAGCCATCACGGCAGGAGAAGAGAAGGGCCAGATCTCCTGAGCTGTAATCCACAAGGGTTACTTAGCTGCTGAGCAGTGCAAACAGGGATGAGGGAATGGTGGGCTCCTTCTAAAAGCTCAGGACCACATGTTCTAGGAACCCTCAGGATGCCTCAGGATCCATCCAATCCAGGAGGATGAAGGCAGCTTGAGCAGCAAAGGTGTCAGCACACTGCTTGGGGAGGGAAGAGGGTGGCTCAGTGACCCCCTCTCCCTGTGGATATTCACTTTTCTAGGATGCCTTTCCTCCTGAGGCCTGCCTGCAAGAATCTTGGCAGCAAGAGGACTCATTTGTAATTTCCCTCCTAGAGAGGTAGAAGGAATATGTTTAACTATTTATTTAACTCCATCCATTCATGTATGCTTTCAAATCTTTATTAATTTTTTTTTTTTTTTTAGATGGAGTCTTACTCTGTCACCCAGGCTAGAGTGCAGTGGCACCATTTCGGCTCACTGCAACCTCCCCCTCCCAGGTTCAAGCGATTCTCCTGCCTCAGCCTCCCGAGTACATGGGATTACAGGCACGCATCTCCACACCCGGCAAATTTTGTTTTTATTATTATTTTTAGTAGACACAGTGTTTCCCCATATTGGCCAGGCTGGTCTCAAACCCCTGACCTCAAGTCTTCCACCCGCCTCAGCCTCGCAAAGTGCTGGGATTATAGGCATGAGCCACTGCGCCCAGCCTCAAATCTTTATTAATTTAGCACTAGTTGCATGCTTATTTAGGTACAAATGCTCAATCCTCTGAGGACTACTGAGAAATATAAGATGCCGTTTGGTCTCCAGGAACTTAAGATCTACCTGTGCAGTCAATGGTAGCACACGTGAAAGAGCCAATGAAATGCAATACAGTCAAATGGAACATGAGCATTGCCAGATTATGTGGCAAGACAGTAAGTGCTGAAATATAGTTTAATGAATGAGGTTTCTGAGGGCATACTGTGTGCCAGGCTGTGCTAAGTTCTAAGGGGTACAAAGATATGGGAGACATGGTCCCTACACT